ACCAAACTCAGTGTAGGGACGCCTGCCAAGCTTGTTACTTTGCCTGGCTTGCCCTTACTGAGCTATTTGACAGACATCCTGTAAGTTCTCTGAGACTAAATTTCCTGATTTGAAAAAAGTGCGTCCCTACCAAACTTAAGGAGGTGCAAACAATACAACATGTACTAGGACTCTTTAAATAATAAAGTGATATATAAATATTAGATGTTGTTTTTATTAAATCAATGGTTGTACCTCTTTCTGTATTTAACTTTTCCAAATACTGCTGTATAAAAGGAGACATTTCATACATATTCATGCCTTTATCTTCAAGGCAGTGATTGGTAACACCTACACTCTTCTTTTGAAAAGTTTTAAACTCCAATTAAAATAATGGCTTAAATATCGATGCTTGAAAATGAGAAGAAGTGCAAAACACACAATTTACTGATGCTGTAAACACCGGAGAAAATACCATATGACATGCATTTGTTCATAAATAATACATATGCCCTCTCCACGAAGCTCAACTTCAATAAAACACAACTAGCGGAAACATCTCAAATTCTCAATGTGTGACCTTTCAGTGTGATGGTGAAATTTCACATGCAATATATCTAAATCTTCACTAATTATCTTTCCATTCAGGTACTTTGTATTTATCGATATTTATTCAGTTGCTTTAAAAAAATTTAAAAAATGAGGAAACAAGGCAAATATTGAGAAAGCCCAAAGGTTTTCTTCAGCATGTTCTGGATTTAGATGCTGGACTGCTGTTTCCACAGATGTACCTACTTTGTCTTTTTCTGACATCCATGCCTTTATAATAGCAGAATGATGAGCAGGAGTTTAGTGGAAGGAAAGCCTCATTCCCAGTAGTTCTGGGTTCTGTTTTGTTTTCTCTCCTCACCTGTGGTGCATTTGGGATCCAGGTTGTAGTAAGTTTCCTGTCTCTTCTCTTCCGGACTCACTTCTGCACCACTGTTCTTTCCTTCTCCCCGAAGCACCCCCCTGCTCAGGAATACTGGTCACCAGATCATTCTATCCAGTATGATTCTGTAATTTATGTTATGCTGTTGTCTTCTGTTTTTCTAGGAACTTCACTGTATTCAGGGAGGGGGTGTTAGTGGCCCTGATCTTAACAGTGATGCATAATTTTTTTACTTAAAACCCTCCAATGGATTTCTTTCTGGTATGCTTAAAATGAAATGTACAACATGGTCATGGTTTACAGTCCTGTCTGCTCTGGTCTCCACCCCTCCCAACATCTTCTACCCTGTTCTTCCTTTCTTCACTGTGTTCCAAAAGCCCTGGTTTCCTTATTATCCCCAAGCATGCAAAGTATGCTCATTATTGTATACTGTATATGTAATTTAATATGTAACAACATACACATATTATGTAATGTCATGTCAGTAATGTATATACACACACATTCATTAAATATTTATTATTTATTAGCTACCCAGTTATGTACTTTAATACATAAATGCCATGAAAACTGAAACTCTGTATTGTTTACTCCTGTAACCCCAGTGATTTGAACAATATATTGTGCTCTTAGCTATTCCCTGAGTGAATGATAAGTGAATGGATCAGTGAATGAATTCATGCATGAATGAATCATTCCAGCACAAGTGCTAAAATTGAGTTCATTAAGTCTTAAACCTTAGACCTGAGTTCCTTCTCTGCACCAGGAATAACCTGTTCTCTGCTCCTCCTCCATTTATCTGCATCTCCCAGACACCGTTCTCCCCTCCTGTCCAGCTGAAGTCTATTTCTTTCCTTTTTTCCTGATTATATAGTTTTCGTAGAGCGCCAGATATTACTGAAATTATTACCTGTATTGTCCACTTTTGCAGTTTCTTTTAATACTGCCTTTTGCAACTTTTTCCATATTATTTTAGGCCTATGCTAATGTGATTTATAAGAAATATATTTTTTGTTCTTTGTCCATCATTCCTGGCACACAGCTCCTCAAATCCTTGTAGTTTCCTAAGAGATAAGTACAATAAAGGTGAAATGGATTTTTTTTTTGTTATTCATAATAAGCTCCTGGGGCACCTGGGTGGCTCAGTGGGTTAAGCCTCTGCCTTCAGCTCAGGTCACTATCCCAGGGTCCTGGGATGGAGCCCCAAATGGGGCTCTCTGCACAGTGGGGAGCCTGTTTCCCCCTCTCTGTCTGCCTCTCTGCCTACTTGTGATCTCTGTCTGTCAAATAAATAAATAAAATCTTAAAAGAAAAAAAATAAGCTCCTTTGAGCTACGCCAGAGTTTATGCTAGAGGTGATTTTTGGAAAGCCCCTAGATAATCACAAAAAGGCGGGGGGCTGGTTAACAGTTGAACCATCCTGACCTCTGGGAGTTTAATCGTCAATGGCCAGTGATTTAATGATTTTGCTTGCGTTCTGAGACCTCCCTAAAAATCTCTGAAGTTGGTGTTGGGAAGTATTTTGGGCTGGTGAATATGTAGAGGACTGAGGGAGGTGGCACCCCTGGAGAAGATGTGGAAGCCCTTCCCACATACTTTGCTCTGTGCATCTCTTCTGCCTGGCTATTGCTGAGTTGTATCCTTTTATGATAAAACAGTAATATAGTAGTAAACTGGTTTTCTGAGTTCTGTGAGCCATTCTAGCAAAGGGTCATACTTGAGAAGGGGGTCATGGGAATCTACTTTTAGCTGGTCTGTCAGAAGCAGAAGGGACAAATTAGACGTGAGATAGGCATCTGAAATGGGTTGGTCTTGCGGGCCCCCTCCCCTAACCTGTGGGATCTGACTCTATCTCCAGATAGGTAGTGTTAGAATTGCGTTAAATTATAGAACCTCCAGCTAGTATCAATGGAGAATGGGAGAATTCCTTAATGTGTAGGAAAACTCACGCATTTGGTGTCAGAGTGAAGTTTTGGAGTAGAGGAGAAACACAGAAGAATGTTGTGGTTTTTTTTCTTTTAGGCCTCAAAAAACTACAGTTGTCTCAGAGATAGCGCTCCCAAAGAGTTACTTGGTATTGTTGTTGTTAGTATTTATATATCATCACCAAGCACTACAGCAAGCACATCCTCAAGACAAATTGTTTGGTGGCTTTTACTGAGTAATATTTAAGATGTATTTTAGATTAATTTAAATGCTGTAAGGATTTAATTCCAGTGATTTTGGTCAGGGATCCTCACCCATATTACTTTTGCGGCCAGAACTACCAGTAGTGGTATTAAAATGCAGCCACAGTTTAATAGAATACATTCCTGGCATCTTTGTAAAGCTACAGCCTGGCTAGAAAATACCTAAAAGAAAAAGAAAAAATCTTTTGCTGGTTTTCCTGATCAAATTTTGTCAGTAAGATACAAAGAAGATGCTCTCAGTGTTAACATTCATGGCTTAAAGCTCATTGCGGGCTTGAAAGTAGGTGTGGCCCATTCCGCAAAGGCAGATGCAGCTAAGGATGAGGAAAACCCTGGAGGGCTCCACGGGATCATCCCCGAAGACCATCCCAGTTTTCAGACATGCAACTGTGCATGGTTTAGACTAAATTTTACCCTCATGTAGATTATTGGGGTGTCTATATGTTATAGAAAATAGTTTTAATCCTGAGGAAGTATTTCCTTCCGAGCCCTATATTACTAGGTCTTATACTGCACATTGTGTGCTTCGGAGGCTAGAGTGTGAAGAATGCCCATCAGGTAACAAACCGGCAACTGCAAATTCAGGGCGGTGCCATGTGTGTTGAGAGGAAACCGGAGCCTCCTGCTTCAAAGCTGCTATGGACTTTTTATCAAAAGCATGTCTTTTGTGCTTCTTATCAATTTTATGTGTTTAAAAAAGTGTTACAAATAATTTTTTTAAAGATAGAACTTCTATTTTTATAAAGAAGCAAATTCAAAGCCTCAGGTCAAGAAGACAACAAATTAGCCATGTCATATGGTGCTTATGTTGTGGGGTTTTTTTTGTGTGTGTGTGATTAAAAAGGGGCAGTTTTCTTCTTAAAACTTTTATTTCAGTATTTAAGAGAGCATATAAACAAATATAAAAGAGGAGGGCACATGGGATACAACATTACAAAAATTCAAGTTATCTAATATAGAAAGAGCTAGATGTATGTATGAAATTAAAACTGCTAATGTTTAAAATAAAACAGACATACATTTCTCATTTATTTGACTTATATTTTCTAAATTATGATTGTCTGTTTCTTTAAATCTTCCTTGAATTAGAATTTTATACTGACATTTTCCCTATTAGATTGTGATTGTTTGGAGTATAGTGTCTATGGCTCTAGGTATCTTATGTCCCCATATTATCTTGTTCTATACTTACTGTGAAATACATGTTTTACAAATGTTTCCTGAATGAATGATAGCCATGCCTGAAGGAAATCCATTTGTTCTCTGCTGAAAAAACATAAGACAATGGGAAGTTCTCAATGTAAATAAGGTTCATGGGAAATCACTCTTTTGATTTGACCACATCCTCTGTAAATGAGAAATCTGGAATGGAAACATTTCTGACCAACTTGTAAACTCCGTAAATGTGTTCATGCCAATAAAAGGTAGAAAACTCTGGGTATTTGCACAATGTATTCATTTGTTCTTTTAATCTAACTGATGTTGAAAAAAAGTTCAGATTACTAATGGTGGCATGGGAAGGTAATGTGGAGAGATTTTTAAAAAGCAAGAAATGTGGTTGGAGGCTGAAAAACTGTAATTTAAATGTAAAATATGAGAACTCGTAATTTAAATATTTACTGGATAGTGTGGTGGGTTCCGTGTAGTGTTTCATTCTTCTAATATGTGTGTTTTTTCACCTTCAAAAGGACACTTAGAGATTTTGGCCTAGTTTCCATTTAAAACCAGACTTGTTTTCAAATAAAGGAAGTATGGTAGCTTTGTTCAAATTGTTTATAGTAGAAAATATAAAATCCTGCCATTGGAGAAGAAAACTTACATTTATCTTAGCACACAGAGAACGTGGTTGTTTCCAAAGTACGTTTTTCTTTAATATTTTAATTCCTTTTCTTTTTTTCCAGGCATTTCCTGGGAACATCAACTCTGATAGTGTGGTTCGTCATGATTTACAGCATCCAGTGATCGCCCGCTATGTGCGCATCGTGCCCCTGGACTGGAATGGAGAAGGCCGCATTGGGCTCAGAATTGAGGTCTATGGCTGTTCTTACTGTGAGTATCTGTTGAAATTTATGGTGGATTTTGTCATTTTCATTTAATTAGTGATTTGTTTTTGATTATTTAACATTACTTGCTTTCTCTGACAATAAGCTGCCTTGTTTTTATATATAAATATATAAGTTTATCTATATGTTCTAGATATATTTTTACATCTTTACACAGAAACACATAAAAATACCTTAAGCAAAGGATTTTTGTTCCGTAGACTAAAACGACAAAGCTTATTAAGTAAGTTACCTGAAGTCTTATGCAATATTTAAAAGTAGAAACTTACATTATTATCCATCATTTTGACTCTTTGTGATGGATTTTGGATATATTCTTGAGAATTCCCTGCCAATTCTCATCAATTTCACCTTTTACTATTTTAAAGCTAACCACTAAATTTTAATGTCAAGGATATTTTATATGTCTGCAAGTTTTATTTGCTCCTTTAAAAAATTGCCTTGGTCCCCTAAAATGATGCTTTTCTTTTAATCATATTTTAAGCTCTTTTTCTTATTTATTTCTTAAATACATTGTATAGATGTCTGGTGATTCTAATATATGGATTTTGGGGGATTACAGCTCTGCTGTCTTGTTTCTACTCATTTTTACCAGTAGTGCTTGTTTGCCTTTCCTCTTCTTCTGTCTTTCTTCTTCTTTACAGCCCTCTTATCTGCCTGTCCTTCTCTTCCCCATCTTCTTGACTATGACCTTAGTTTCTTTAAAACTTTCATCTGTGGAATTTCTTTCAGGCCAAGGTTGATGATGGATTTGTCTACCGAAGATCTATCTTTGCTTATTTGCTTCTATGAAAGCAGTACTAACACAGAATTACTTTAGAGATTGTTTGAGGTGTTTTGAGGCTGCTAGGTAGTAGAGAGTCAATCTGCAAATACATGATTTGCAGATACTGGCTTTAGAATATGAATTCTATGATAAAATATTTCCCTCCTCCTAGGAGTCTACCATTAGACTCTCCCTTACCTCTCCTACAGATACGTAAAAATAAAAGTTCACTACAACCAGAAGATGGCAAATGACCTATTGGCAAGCTTTTTAAAATTAACCAAACATTTAGTAGTTTATAATAAAAATATATATAAAGCTTTCACCTCTGTAGAAATCAGTTACAGAGATTGGTGTGGAAATAGTAGCTGTTGTGATAACCAAATCATATTTTTTTATTCATGAGCAATATTGTTACGTGCAAACTGAAATGGTTACTACAAAGGGGCCATGGAGATCATTTAAAAGTTCTCCAGGTGTTTATTTTATTTGGTCATCACTTTATTATAGCAAATACAACGAGTAGAGAGGCAGAGAAATGTAGTTCTTCAGCAGAATATAGATCTTCAGGAGGAAGATCTTGTTAGGAGAACTTGTTAGGAGAAGTCTAAAATGAGCCTTAACATAAATCTGGGTTCTCTGTATGTGGTCCTGGCATTATGGATACAGAATTCTGTGTTCACACATATTCTAAGTATCAGCACATTGGGAAGGCCAAGACAAAATGTGGTATTTTCCTCTGCATGATGGATTTTCTAGGGAGCATGTTCAGTAAATGAAAAATGTGTAATGCTCTTCATGGAAACCATGATGTATGAAATTTATTAATAATTACTTAGCACTGGGGGTGCCTGGGTGGCTCAGTGGGTTAAGCCTCTGCCTTCGGCTCAGGTCATGATCTCAGGGTCCTGGGATCGAGCCCCGCATCAGGCTCTCTGCTCAGCAGGGAGCCTGCTTCCTCCCCTCTCTCTCTGCCTGCCTCTCTGCCTACTTGTGATCTCTCTCTGTCAAATAAATAAAATAAAATAAAAATCTAAAAAAAAAAAATTACTTAGCACTTTTTATGTGTCATGAAATATGCTGAATGTTAGTAATACCATGGTGAATAAGGAAAACATTACATGAGACATCAGGTAGAACAACTAATATAGTAGTGTTTACCGGGATTAAAAATAGTGAAAGTTAAAATACACCAGAGGCATATCGCCTAAATGATAGAGCTGAAAGGAAAGCCAGTGAGTCTGGTACAATGCTAGAGCTCACGACCGCTGTTCTATTTTCCTACTCCTTGATTCCAACAAAATGAGCAATGATGTAACCATCACCAAGTCAATAAAATAATCATATTGACGCCTGGCCCCCCCTCCCAGTTACTGCTGCTTTTTAAAGGTAGAAATTCACTTGATTTTTATCCTCATAGATTAATTTTACATTTTTTTTTAGTTTCACGAAAATGGAATCCTGAAGTATACGTCATTTCCCATCTGAGTTCTTTCTTCAAAATAATAATTATAAGAATTATCCACACTGTTATTTAAGGTATTTGATTATATTTATTGGCCCTGTTACTCTATTGTATGAATATCCTATAATCATCAATTCATTTTATGTTAATGAATGTTTGAATTATTTCCATTTTTGGCTATTTTAATAGAATTGCTATAAATATTCCTCATGGATGTCACCTTAGGAAGGATAATACCAAGTTAGGATATATGTATGTTTAATTTTTGTCAGTAATGACAAAATTCTTTTCTGCAGTGGTTATTATCAACTCACACTCCCACAGCCAATGTATTGGCATTCCTGTTGCTTCACAAATTTGGGAACTTAGTATTGATTTCAAAGTTTTAACCATTGTGGTGAGTGTTCATTATATCTCATTTTAGTTTTAGTGAACACTTTGCTGATTTTTAAAGAGGTTATGCTTGTCTTTCCTTTGTATACCTCTTTCTTTGAAGTGTTTGTTGAATTTTGCCCGTTTTCCTATTGGATTATCTTTTATTTATCTATTTTCCAGTTGTTTTTGAATACTTTTTATAGCCAACTCCCTCTCTTTATCTTTTATTTTATTCTTGTTAGGATATCCAGACATATTATCTTATTTTTGAGATGGCTTTCTTTAAAAAATCATTTTAAAACCAACACTGTTAATGGGGTTACTTAGAGCTCAGAGTAAGGGCAAACACCGCTTGCCCAGTGGCAAATAGTGTGAGGTGACTCAGGTGTGGCTTAAAAGAGGACATTGTGTTCTACAGTTGTTGCAAGTGGATCTGTGAAGTGGTGAGCTCATACTATCATAGCCTTCTCCATCTAGCCCGGGCTTTGGGAGTCACAAATGGAAAGGAAAAAAATGCCTGAAGCTACATAGGAAGCTAGGTTTTTGTAGTATATAAGCGTCTCTCGGGGGGCAGGAATCGTACACTTTAAAAACTGTATTAACATTATACCAGTAGGTGCCAGTGGAGTAAATGATGAACTAGTAACATAAAATAAAATGTAGGATAGAAGTTGAAAAATACCATTGTAGTAGATTGTAGTAAGTTGGATAATGGTCTCCAGAGGTATCAGGTACTAATCCCTGGAACTGTAAATGTTACTTAATAAGTCAGAGCGTTTGATTTAGTTAATGATTGTGGCGTGGGGACAGTATCGTGCATTATCCGGGGGGCTTCTAGGTACATGGGTTCTGTCCTTGTGAGCGGTGGGCAGAGGGAGAATTCATAGACAGGAAAATGGAGGCACTGTGACCATGGCACAGAGATCGAGTGATACTTTTATAAGTCAAGGAATGTCAACAGCCTCCAAAAGCTGGAAGAGGAGAGGAGATTCTCCTTGGAGCCTCCGGAGGAATTGAGGTCCTGCTGACATGTTGATTTGAATCTAGTGAAAAAAATCTATGTGAGAGAATAGAGCTGTTGTTTAGAGCCACCAGGTTTGGGGTACTTTGTACAGCAGGGACTGGGAACCATAGACGTATCAATATCATTTTAGGGGGAGAAAAGGTACAAACATAGCTCTAGAGCCATGTTCTTTAGTAGAACTTTAAACAAAGATGTGAATGTCCTTGACCTGCTGTAGTCTGCTAGTCACATCTGGCTGTTGAGAACTTGAAATGTAGCTGAGATAACTGAGGAACTCATTTTAAATTGTGTTTAATTTTAATTCACTTGAATTTGAATTTACATAGTGTGACTGCTGACTACCATATTGGTTGGTGTAGATTAGGAGAACCAAAAGTCTGCTTATTATTTTTCTTCCATGTTCTTTTATAGTTTAAAGAACCTACAACATTTATTTTTTAAATGGCATTCTCTGATTTTTTTCCCTTAGTTTGGTGAACAATGATTAATATCCTGGACACAGTTTTTATTGTCAAAGAGTTGATAACTAGTCATTTCTTTAACAAGATCCCCAACTGGGCCATTTTTGTAACTAATGTCCAGATCAGATTCTTTTTATTTATCTATTTTTGAAGAACCCAAATTATATTTATGTATTTTCCAAGAGAAATACACGTTTACATTAAGAAAAGTATGTGTTAAAAATATTTGTGATGGACAACTTTCCTAAAGCTACTATTGTTTAAGTTTACCTGTCCTAGTGTAGGCCCTTAGAAGATGGCCTTCTGGTTTTGTTTTTGTTTTTTGTTTTTTTGTTTTTAATTTAGTGAAATACTATGTCAAAGACTTTGCCTTTTCAATGAGAAAAAGAATCATGGATCTTTGAAGGGGAAAAGTCAGATACACCCTTTTATTTTGCCCTCGTAAGAGTTAGCAGTACTCTGTATGCTAGCGTCCCCGCAAGGAGAAATTAGGCTTCGATCACTCCTGTGGGAGAGAGAAATGAATTCTCTCATCTTTCTAGAAACCCCTTGGAAGACTTATCTGAGGTCTGTCCTGAAGTTGCAGATCAGGGAATGGGAGAGCCCTTCCTCTGTTTCTAAGTTTGCGGAAAGGACTGGAGAGGGCAGGATGTCAGCGGGAGCAGTGCTTCTGTTGGAGGCCTGTGCTGCTGCCGTCCCCCTGGTGTTTGTCATTTCTCCTCTGTGGAGTTCTTCCGTGGCCACTTATCTGTCTGAGAAGTTCGGTATTTCTCAAGCTTGTGGAGAGAAAGTTCACTCTATCCAGGTGGAGAAGGTAAGTTGTAGGCCACTTTTTTGAAGGCTTACGGCGTCTCCTGTTGGTATTTCCCGACTTGTCTTGAGAGTCATCAGAGTT